TTTGCAGTTATGCAACTTTTGAAAAATGTTAATTTAGTTAGTGCGGATATGCACGACTCCAACTAGATAAGTTATAAGCAGCCTATGCTCTGTTACAGTTAAGGGGAGGACACTGGTTCTAGAGGTAATTTGTTTGGAGAAGACGGTATTCTTCTGAAATGGAGCCATTGGCACTGTTTTTTGCCTAGTTCAACATTTCACATTGATATTTTTGTGCTAACAGCAACTGGTATCCCTGCCACACACTATATATTGACTGAAAAAGCAAAAACAAAACAGCTCTTAGTCTTGTGCTGCTTCAGAATGATGTATGGTGCAGCAGTGGGCATGCATGCAGGCTGGTGGCTACTAAAAAAATTAACCGAAACATGTCAGCATCTTCTGCTACATCTTGGTTAACACGCACTTTTTTTTTCTTGCATTTTCTCAAAACAAGCTCGCCGTACTTTTTCGGGGCAGCACTTTCTTAAGTTCAGTTCAAGCTAAATGTACAAGCTTAAAATGCGGCGAGCAGATTCTTTTCTTTTTCTAAAATTTTGTTTGCTTCTGTTCTTGGGTGTTGGTAACTGTAGTTTATCCCCTGGACTAACGTGGTTTACTAAATTGCCAGTTGGATTTTAGAACTGCTTGCAGTATTTCATTGATATGCATTTTGCTTTTAATTCTTGGATGAATCCCTACTTTTTACCTGGTTAATTTTTATCTGTTGCCTCTCTGAGTGATAGTTATGAACATCTAAGTATCATTATTATTTAAGCCATGATCATTATTTTTAAGGCATGAATGTAAACTTACTCAATTTCCATCGTGGCATGTGCAATGCAGTTTTAAACGAGGTACAGCATTGGCGGCAGCATGGTTTTGAGCTGTTGTGCGCCATGTCACAGATAAGATTCTCACTCGTTGCCCAAGAGTCTCATCGGAGATGAGGTTAACATATCCTCGTGAAAATCAGTGAAGTTCTGCCGCTGCGTTTCTCAATAACCCAGTGAAAATTTATGTCATGTAATACCCGACATCTTAATAATATGTCATATTATCTGGCACAGTTACCTTGCAGCATTTGACACCTATAACGTGTTTTCGTACCTATCACTTCTTTAGGCCTGATACACATACTTCTAACACGCATTGTCACTTCATAAGGATCGAGCCATAAAAGTACAAAGTAGATAAGAAACCAAAATCTCCGCTGTTTCTATTAACACGTATCAGGTATCCGATATTACGAGTTATAGCCGTGGTGAAGCATATATGCAGATTCGGCAACCCTACAACATGCTTATAGCTCATGCGTAGTCGTATATCACCAGGAGATCATGCACTTTTATTTTTCTGCACGCCGCGCATACGCTGAGATGTACCTACTCACAGATGATCGCGTCAAATGTATTTTTACCTTGACTACAATGTCAGATCGTAAAGTTCTATCGACAATCGGTTACTGAAACCGGCCCACAACGAATACCAGTGTTTTCGCGAACAGGACGCATCACATTATTCACGCTGCACGCACCACGCACAATATTCCCAGTTTCACAGTCCGTAAAGATGAACCAATATTGTCGATGCCTTTCAACGCACACTACACGCCACAGTCAACACTGCACATTTTCGAAGAAGATGCCGCTGTTCCTTGCACAGGCCACCACAGTTGTGTTCACTTCTTGTAGATAAACAGCCAGCTAGCGTGGAGTATATTTCATCACGCGCTTTATCACACGCCTAGATGTTCTCAGACACATGCCACAGCTAATGTTGCCACTGTGAGATGAAGATTAAACTTTCAATAAGAAAAAAAAAATGGCCCCAAGCACCGAGCGACAGCACCCCACTCAGCCACCGGCCGGAGTGTTTTGCCAACCACTGCCTTGCACGTGCACCGGTGACGCCACGCTGTGACATACCCCGGTAGAGGTCTATTGCAAGTAGCGCATGCATGAGGCGCGTGCTTGCTACCTCCCAGTTAACACACTCGTGATGCATGTTTGTTTACATTACCCCTGCGTTAATGTTGGCGTCGAGTCTCTGCATCTCGCTCAGTCGCGTGGGGTGCACTTTAAAATTGGTTTTAAATATTTTCTAAGCCATATTTGCCTTTGATATCTCTTAGGTGTTGCTTATGTCTCCATATATATCTATCTCGTTATCTCACCTTTTAAATTTTGTCATTGCTCCTTTAAGCTTGAGTTGAGCAAGCCCTGTTGCTTACAAATACCAAAAGGCGCAAATAGCTGGGTGCACCAAAGCTGTGTCTAATTATCTCCCTCTTTTTCTTTGTTGGTGAAGCTATTTATCTGGAGGTTGGGCTGCTTGCCGTGTGCAGCAAAACCTCGGTGATGAGAACTTCATTAACAGGGGGTGGGTCTTTTTTCAAGGTGGCTGGCCGCTCCTCCTTTGTTTGGATTGCAAAAGAGGATACAAAGCGTACACACACCAGTGCTAAGGAAATCAGTTGCAGCCTTGGAAAAGAAGAGTCCTCTTGTCCAAGCATCTGCTCCAGCACCCTCCCCTTTTTTACCAGTTAACCTTTGGCCTTTCTCCATTTGTCCAAACAAAAATTTCTTGGCGAGGCAAAGTTCGAACATGGGTAGCCACAATCAGACTGTAAGAGTCGTAACCACCCTGTTGTTCCAGCAAGCTAGCAAAACTGGCATTCACGGGAACCATAATGAAGAACGAGAAAAGGATGGGAAGGTCAAACAGATGGAGAGAGAGTGTGTCAGTTGGATTTCCCAGTCTTTAACTGCCGCTCTCTATGCTGATGTGCCTTTATGTACACTCAATTGACTATATCTAGGCTGCCTGCAGTTCACAGGATCAAATCCCGGCTGCATTTTTGATGGAGGCGAAAACACTGTAGGCCCGTGTGTTCAGATTTGGGGGCACATTAAAGAACCCCAGGTGGTCTAAATTTCCAGCGCCCTCCACTACAACGTCTCATAATCGTATGGGGGTTTTGGGATTATATCTGGGCCATGCTAAGGAAGCATGGAAAGTTTAGATAGGCTTTATTTGTGATCAGAAGTGTCTAACTGCATTTATTTCTTTGGTATTCATATATGTCAGCATTTGAGTGTACAATCTTGCTAAATGTGCCTTGGTTTGATGCATCTTTAAAATTAGAGACACCGTAGAGTTGATTTCGTCTTTTCTTGACACACTTTAGGTGGTTGTCGAGAATTTTAATCCTTCTAGAGCAGGTGTCGGTAACCCATGGGCCACATCGTGCGATCTTCCGACAGTCAGATTCTAGTCTCCACGTTAGACAGGAATAACATGATTTTTATTCCGGTTTTGTACATATCGTTAAATGATGAACTTTTGCTTTGCTGGCAAAGGTTTTCTTGTGGCCCCCTGGGTGTCTGTGCCTTGTGCAAATCAGTCGTCCACCTAAAAAGGTTTCCAACCCCTGCCCTGTTCTAAAGTATGCGATTTTGCATACAGCTAGGAATTTAGGTTGTGATTATAACTGAATCGACAGTGGTCTTTAAGCATGGCCGTCAGTTCAGCAGAATTAGTTGGCCGCGCATTTGTGCTCTTAATTTGAGGGGGCTTTGAATATCCTCTTTGGAACATTCCATTGCTACTGCTGCACACAAGCGAACTGTAAATGTGACACAATGCAGGTCATTATACCGTATGGTGAAGGATAGTACTTTGAATGGGGACAGAAAAGACATGACACTGACATGTAGCAAGTGCTGAGTCTTTCTTGCCCCTTTGTCTCTGTCTAAAGTGCACTACTTCACCGTACAATCAGTCACCAGCTCCTCTCACACTCACTCGTGCATGCATCTAGTGAAGGAACACACCACGTACAGGATTCTCCTGAGTGGATTCGATTGCGCATATGACTGTTTTTGAGGGGTTATCTAGTTTAACTTAGCACATACAATATGATGAGCTATGAATTGGTTTGCACATCTTTAGTGTGTTCTTGAACGCTGGAAAGTGTTGGTAAACCAATAAGGTTCTAAGATTTCCTAGCACTGTAGTCAAGGCCGCATGAGCTGCCATGACTTGTTGCTTTTGTTTGGATGGCCATTGTTAGGATTGATTTGCATAGTGAATTTCAAGTAAAGAAACTGTTCACCAGTCAAGTTGTTTCTAATGTGCAGAAGACGTGAAGCAGCAGCAGTCATTCACTTGGGTGAGAGGGAAGGAAGCCAAATATATGATGATTGCATGTGGATTCCATGGCAGCAGTAGTGTATTATGTACTCATTTGGCATGTAGTACAGTTGGTGTTTTACAGCGAAGGCTGTTGTGGGATCACAACTCTGGTCTCGCACAGCGCCGTAGTTGTCTGCCACCGCTGGTGTCCGTAACCACATTGCGCGAAATTCGAAAAAAATAAAAAAAGACTGGTACGGTGGAGCTTGAACTCCGGATCGCTGGGTGCCATCCCAGTATTCTACCACTGAGCCATGCCGCTGCTTGGGACTTGTTGGCAAACTTGCCTTAAACAGGCTTGATGTCGGGAAAACAATCGCGTTAGTACGACTTGTGAAGTGTTCTAAAACGGGAATGGAGCAACCAGGCGTCGCACAATTTGAATAGCGGGACAAGTGAGTCATACGATGCTCCAAACCATTACAAAAGCTTTTTCGTTCACCTATTAATTGTGGCACATACCCACTTCAGCCATAATTCCTCATTATTGTCAGCCACTGCATGAACAGTTGGCACAAAATTCCTTGCAAGTGTTTAGCAGATACCATGCTTCTCAGAAGAATGACGAAAAATGTCATAGTGAATGCTGGCCTATTATCGTAAAATTATTATTAATGCCATAGTGGGCATCAAGCAAGTGTGCTTGCAGCAGTTACCCAATCACCCTTTAGAAAAGGCTCTGAAAGGACACTCTTCTAGCTTTTGCCGTGCCTGTGCTGCGCTTTCTGCGCAGGCCTGGCATTTTTCGTTCTGACGTGGTCATAGTGTGTGGTGGCTTAGTTGTGGGACAAAGTCTGACTGTTGTCCATCTCGTGCATTTGCAGCACCGCTCTCGCCGGGATGCATCCGAAAACGGTGGCCGGCGTAGTCCTAGCCCTGTACGTCGGGGAAGCCGGAGCCAGTCACGCTAACATGTCCTCATCTTTGCTTGCATTCATTGTCCTTTGTTTGCGTTGTCCTCTGTTGCAACAATAAAGTGTTTGCTGTGTGTGTCTTTGTGAGATCTGGTCTTGCTCGCTCTCGTGCTCAGCACTGCTGGAGCTTCATTTGAGCTTGTCCGGCTTTGGATGAATTTAACCTTGTGCGTAATAAATTTCTTCATTGAATTTCATTTTGCAGTGTACAGTTGCATATGACCATTTTGCTGAAGGCACTGTCATGTTTGACTTGCTGCTTCTTCGGAGCCGCGTCAAGAGTTGCATTTTTTTGCTCAAGATGGACGTAATCGAAATTGCAACGCATTTCTAGCATTGAGATTTCTATTTATGCAGAAACGGAGCATGAACGGCTTCGGAATCAAAAAAAGTTTATTTCCTTTTTATTTACGCTCTCTAAACATCTTTGCGGTCGGGAAACTAATGAAGAGAAATATGCGCGCTTTTGCTATGTGAACATGCTACTGCAAGAACTTTGCGAATGCGTGCTATAATGCTGAAGTTGCAGGGTTTAGAACATACCTGCTTCAGCCAGTTTCAAATTTTTGCGCGGCCGCTCGCCACCCATCTTCGCTGTAGACATGGGAAGGAGTAGCCCATCGTGACTGGGGCACCCGGTACGTCAACGATGTCCTTGATACTTTATTGGCGCGCAACCAACGTCTCAGCAGGGCTTACTTAACGGGAGCGAGTCACGTGTCATAGCTGGGCAGGCAGGAAACGCTGGGTGAGGAGCACTTTTCTTCTCGCAGTGAGATCGGGCTATAGGCAGCAGCAGTCGGCGGCACTTCGTCGCGCACGGTCTCGGCTGGTGGTCAGCAGATAAAATGCAACATCTACGCTCTTCTCTACTTAATCAGTGCAGGATGCCTATGCAACGTTTTACGCATGAGTAAAGCGCATTCTGCCTTTCATAGGATGCTCGCCCTGAGTGACCTTCACGCTTTCGCACTAAATCACGCCTTTGCAGTGTTGTTTTTACGTGGTTAGCTTGTGTTCCGCCTGCTGCGCACTGCTGTAGCGTGACTGAACAACTTATTTACATCTTTGTCATCTGCATACTACAAAAAGATAGAAAGATTTCAGAAAGCTTGCACATCTTTTTGTTTAGTAGTTCAGTACCACTGTTGGCACCTTATTCACATTTTTATTTCTCTCTTATTCTATTCACCATGAAATGTGGGACAGTGGATAAATCTAATCAGAAAAGATTAGTGGCTGAAAGCACTTTGTGCTACATTGCATTTCGCATATGTATGCAAACGTTCTTGCACTGGTAAGAATATAAAAGATTTTATATTAGAGTTGAGCAGAAAACTCATCGATGGATGACGTGTATGACAGTGCTAACGCACAGCCGTGGTTGATATAAGCATTTTTTTTTTTTTCAGACAAAACAAATGGCAGATGCATGTACAGTGGGAAACTATTATACGCGAAGCACGAATGGGGAAAGTTGATATGTCACTTTGAAATCGGCACGTTTCGAGGTGGACGTAAATTATGCCGTACATGACTTCCATGTCATGATTATCATGTTTGGACAGGTCATTTATCCTCGCCGTCTATTCATGTCACGTGATACCAAATTCGGTATATGTGGAGCTAGCGAAACTGCCACGGGCGCACTTCATGTTTGATATGATTCAGTTTGGACGTGTCATTTACTTTCGTCGTCTGTTCAGGTCACGCCAAATTCGGTAAATGTGGAGCTAGCAAAATGGCCGCAAGCATGCTATGAGCGTTGTAGGTAGTCATTCTTTACATGATACGCATATCATTATGTTCAGCGTGTAATTTACCTTCGTCGTCTATTCACGACACGTGATACGGAATTTGGTATATGTGGAGCTAGCAAAATGGCCGCGAGCATGCTATGAGCATAGCATGTAGGCATGTTTTTCATAACACGCATGTCATGGTTATCATGTTTGCACGCTTCATTTACCTTCGTCGTCAATTCACGTCACGCGATACCGAATTTGGTATATGTGGAGCTACCGAAATGGCCGCGAGTGCATGATGAGCGTGGTCATGACATACCCGCCATGATTTTCATGTTATGCCTAGTCACATATGCCCATCACACAATCATGTTATGCCATACCAATTTTGGTATTGAAAGCATTATCTAAACGGCCAGGAGATCTAAAAGTCGTAGGTGGCTAGATAGATGGCGACTTTGAGCGTATCTAAGAAATGCTGCGTATTTAAAATGATCACTGCCTTCCGTCGGTCACTAACAATATCACACAATTGCTAAAGACATTGTAAACAAGATGAAATTTTCAGGGAAATCGTACGACATTATATATAAGGCATGCCGTCTGAATTTTCAATGGCTGGGCTATTTAAAGTGTTCTTAAATCGAAACACATGGTTGCGCGTGATAGTTCTGTTTTAAGTACGATGTGTCGCAGTTTATGTGATAGTAATATTTCTATGTAGTAGTAGCACGACCACATAAATAAGGCTCCACGTATGATCGATAAACTACAGTGTTGTAGTTGTACACCTACCAACAGAGCACAAGTGCATGGCCTAGAGCCTGTTTTTTTTTTTCTCACTACCTAGTCGCTATAAAACGCTGCATTTGCACGCCATTTAATAGTCCCCATGTTTGGGAGGATGTTAAGAGCATTTTGCGATGTGCTTGAAACAAAGAGGGCACTCTGAAATTATTCTGGCGAATGGAGGGTACGACGACAATAGATATGGCTCTGGAAAGTTGCACTCGCCGATCTTATTACTGCGCATTGGAAGCCGAGCAAGACCAATTGCTTTCGTACATCGTTTCAGGCATACCTACAAATGGTTACACAAGCGCCGACATGACCAGACAAACCACGCGCACATTAAAACGCAACATGGCTAGCATAGCGAGTTTTGTTCACCACGAACGGCTACACACTATAAAACATCCTACAACCTACAGAGCCAGCAGAACCGCCAATATTGTGAACAAGAGGAATGCAAGATGTCGCCCCACGGATCTGTACACAACTGAACAAAAAATTACTTCATGTAGCGCCGGATCACGACCACTCCTTCAACTAAGAAGACTGGTATGTTGAAGTCTGAAACATCTGAATCCTAGGAGCGTACTCAAAAGAAACAATGCAATCCCACTACAGAAACTTAAGAACAGATGCCTCCAAATCTCTCGCATGATTAGCTGGATTGCCAACAAGCACAGAGGGCTGAAAACACGACCTCCTGCACTTCTTTCAAGCTTTTGTAGTAAGCCTAGTGACATACAGTTACCTATACCTTCGAATAACCAGGACATATGAACAAAATAATTAGACCTTACTCCGCGATACACTTAAAGAAAGGCACTGACCCTTTCTTGATGGACATCTACAGAACAACTCCCAAGAACTGTGAATTTACAACACTGCAGCAAAGAGTTATGCAAAGTCCACCTCGACAATCAAATAATCAGACTAGCCTCTCCAGAACTGGTATAACTGCTTGCTAAACTGAACATCATACCACCAACGCATGTCGGAAACAGGCTGCCGGAGGCTTGGCAGAAAAGAGTCGCATTCAAGCCTCTTCCTTAAAATATGGATCGCACATTCCATGCAGGGTGCGCGAAGCCAGAGCCCATGATAAATACTTCGACGACGACAGTTCGTTTTCAGTGTACGCTGGCTAGTCGCATACAGGAAAATACACAGTGGCAGTAGTAAACCAGGAACAATGTGTTCACTGCATATCCACAATACAGCATGATGTTACAAGCATGCATGTAGGAGGTCGCTATTGCCATTGCGCTCAGAAACCCAGCATCCACCTCCGTCCCTACTCTACATTGTGCTGCACGTTGTAGATACCGCTTATGTAAAACAATTAGTGCTGTGGTGTATTATAGTTCTTTCTTTTGCTTTTCATTTGCACATGCACTCTTGAGCTACCCTAGAATATATGTTTCATGTGTTTCTTTCATTAAACTAAGTTGTGAGTTCGCCCTTGTTTGTCTCCTAGCCTTCCATTCTCCCGTCCACTGCGTGCGCGCTGAAACGTTACCAAGAATGTCATCAAATCAACTCTCCCAACTTTCTATTTTATTACAGAAATATGATGTGCTTCTGAGATAATTTGCGCCATGAGATTTTCAATGTTTTTGAAATATTTCTATTTTCCACAAGAGTGCCAAAATAATTATTCATTACCTTGAATGTAAATGCAATTTTTCCAGTTTATTGCAGTATGTGAGGTTAGCTGCTCGAGAGTGCTCCCAGATGCAAAATAACTTGCTTTTAAATGCTCAAAAGCAGAAATTTTTGCTGCTCTAGGAATTGCTCGCGATGAAAAGACCTAAGTAGCATCACTGAGGGTGAAGTCACACAAGATAAGCATAGTGAATGATTGATCATGAGAATAACCCTGATACCCATCGGCTAATCTGAAGTACTAAACTTCTAAAATGAAAAAAAAAAACAATTAAATATTGCAAGCTTGCTATGCTTGCGAAAAAGATGCTGGTGACTGCGGCTACCAGTGCGAGCTGCTGGGCAGGATGTGTGATGCAGGAGCGCTGCAATTTACTGAAGCCCGAACAATTGCGCAGCTTGTTTTTACACTGCTAGTAATCATTACTTTTGTGTCGTTTGCCTATGTTTTACTTTGATATGTAGAATAAAATGCCACATTATTGCAAAACGACATCTCTCTGCAACAAATCTTCATAACCTCAGGCTGGACTCTAAAATTTGGCCCTGTAGCAGCTCTTATTTCGATGTCTCTTGTATTGAGTGCCGAATAGCCTGTTCAAGAAAGGGGGGGCAAGCATACGTCGCACGATTGTTATAGCGCTAGACAATGTCACTTAAAGGGATCGGAATGCTTGGCGTAGTGGCGTTGGGAAACGCATCTAGCATTGCGAGGCAAGGTAAAATAGTTCACGACCTTCAGGTTATTAAATATTCACATGAAAGCTGCAGTGAAAAAGGGCACACTGCCACGCGTCTGCTGTTTCATTATTGAGAACTTCTCTTTGCATTTTTTTTTCTAACTTGCTTGTACCATGAAGTTAGCCTTAACGAAATCATCC